TCTACTAGTCTGAAATTACTAAGCTAGACTAAAACTATCAACTATAACCAAATCAGTAAGCCTACAAAACATTAAATTAATTATAATAACAGAAGATGCTAATTCAATTAAACAATACATAAACAAAATTTTAAAACACAAACAATTACTGATATTCAAATTAAAACTTAATTATGAACTAAATTAATTACTAATACTAATCAACTACTAAATAAATCAAGTAAGACTAACTAAAAACTTAAAAACAAACAAACAACAAAAAACATAAAACAGAACACACAAAAAATAAAATCAGAACGAACGATAATAAAAAAAAGAAAAGGAACAGGAAAACTCACTGTTTTTGATATCTAGAGGCGGCCAAACTTGATTCGATCCCCGAACACGCGAATCTTTTAAAAGATTCTTGACCCGTAATATCCCTAACCATGTGTCTTCTCAAGAAGACACCTGGTTAAGGATATTAGGGTCGAGAACCTCAAAGATGTTGAGCTAAGGTTTCATCATTTTTTTTTAGATTTAAAATTCAAGTATTTTGGTTAAGTTTTGAAGGTTGTTGTTTGGAGATTTGGAATGAGGAGGGTGAGGGGAGTGTATGGTATTAATTTGGTTGAGTTTCGAGAAGGTAGGGTTTTTGCCGGATTTTAGATTTGAAATCCGAGCATTTTGGTTGTGATTCGGGGAAATTGGTTTGGGGGTTGGAAAGAGGATGATGAGAGGATTCCATGGTGTATTTTTTGGGTTATTTGGAGCACCGCCGCCGGCGGAGGCAATTTCCGGCCGGCGGCGAGCGGTGGCGGAAGGCGGAAGGGGGCGGAGATACGGTGGGGCTGTGGAGGTGAGGATTTCCGGTGGGGAGAGGAGTGGGGTGTGAGAGAGATGAGTGAATGGGGGGGGTGGGGTATGGTTAGGACACTTATATATTAAAGCATAGGGGGTTCCCGTCCGTTGGATCAAGAAACATAGATGGCTAGGATTAATCATAAACAAAACGACGTCGTTTTGGTGGTAAGGGAAACTGGACCGGATCAGGGATATTTGGGCTGGGTCTTGGTCGAATTTTGGGTCCTCTTTTGGGCTAGAATTGTATTTTGGCCCAAATTTTGGGTCCTTTAACAAGACCTACTCTATTAATTCTTTTTCTTTCTTTTTCTCTTTTTGTATTTTTTATATATTTGTTTATTTATTGCTTATGCTAAAACAAGGACATAATTAGACTATGTATTCCTTAAAATATTCAAAACTCTATTTTTTGCAATTTTCTTTTTATTTTAAAACTAAATTAATACCTAATTAATACTAGAATTAAATGCCTAAATGCAAAAAATGCAACATATTTTGTATTTTCTATGAATTAAAATGCTACACATTTTTTTGTATTTTTACGAATTAAAATGCAACATATATTTTTTTTTTTGTATTTATTTTTTGAATAAAAATGCGCAGACAAAAAATGCAAACGAGACACCAAACTTATGCAATTAATTCCTAGAAATCAAATAATTAAGGAAAAATCCTAATTTTAATGGATTTGTAGGAGTAAATTAAACATGGCAAAAATCACATGCTCACACTGACGTGTAAGTCTATTGAGTTGACGAAGATTCTCCAGAAGAGGAAGGTTAATATAGCTTGTGTCCAGGAGACTAGGTGGGCAGGGTCAAAGGCGAGGAATGCGGACAGGTATAAGTTGTGGTACTCTGGAGTCGCGAGGGGTAAGAATGGAGTTGGTATCTTGGTAGATAGGGATCTTAGAGAGTCTGTCGTTGAGGTTAGGCGAGTGAATGAAGGCTAATGTTTATTAAGTTGGTGATTGGTGAGTGCACCCTCAATGTCGTTAGCGCTTACGCGCTGCAAGTGGGCTTGGATGAGAAGGTTAAGAGGCGCTTTTGGGAGGGTTTGGACGAGATTGCGCGTAGCATTCCACCTACTGAAAGGTTATTTATTGGAGGGGATTTTAATGGCCATATTGGGTCGGTTGCTGGTAGTTATGGCGAGGTGCATGGTGGCTTTGGCCTTGGGGATAGGAAGGGAGGAGGTACTTCGCTGTTAGACTTCGCTAAGGCTTTCGACCCGGTGATTGCGAACTCGACTTTTCCGAAGAGGGAGGAGCATCTGGTTACTTTCCATAGTTCGGCGGTGAAGACTCAGATTGATTACCTTCTCCTCAGAAGGTGTGATAGAGGGTTGTGCAAGGATTGCAAGGTTATCCCGGGAGAGACCCTCGCGACTGAGCATAGGCTCTTAGTAATGGACATCGGCATTATGATGAAGCGGAAGAAGAGGTATGCTCGTGGCCGACCGAGGATTAGATGGGGAGCTTTAACCAAGGATAAAGCCTAGGAGTTGGAGGGGAGGTTATCCGCTATGGGAGCTTGGAGGAGTAGTGGAGACGCGAGCACTATGTGGTCAACGACGGCGAGCTACGTGAGGGAGGCGGCGAAAGAGGTGCTAGGGATATCGAAGGGTTCTTCTGGCAGGCACCAAGGCGACTAGTGGTGGAACGACGTAGTCCAGGGTAAAGTGGAGGCGAAGAAGGTAGCGTACGCGAAGTTGGCAAGGAGCACAAGCGAGGAGGAGAGGAGAGCGAATAGAGAGAGGTATAAGGTGGCGAGGAAGGAGGCAAAGCTGGCGGTCACGGAGGTTAAGAATGCAGCGTTTGGTCGGGGGAGAAAGGCGGGGACAGGAAGTTGTTTCGGCTGGCTAAAGTGAGGGAGAGAAAGGCCCGGGATCTGGACCAAGTAAGGTGCATCAAAGACGAGGATGGTAGAGTATTGATGGGAGAGTCCCAGATTAAGCAGAGATGGCAGACGTACTTCTATGGTCTTCTAAACGAGGAGGGGGACCGGGATATAGCGCTAGGGGATTTGGGGCATTCAGAGAGTCTCCGAGATTTTAGGTATTGCAGGCGCATTAAGGTGGAGGAGGTCGTGGGGGCTTTGCGTAAGATGAGTAGGGGTAGAGCGAAAGGGCCAGACTGTCTTTCTGGAGTATGGCTTAGTAGGTTTACTATACTATTATGGAAAGTCAAATATAAATTTACTTATGAACAATGTGTTGATGCAGTGACTGATGACTGTCTTGTTGGAGTATGCCTCAGTAGGTTTAGTTTACTATTATGGGAAGTCAAATGTTTATAGACTATAAAATGCCTTTTGGGTCAAATGCTTATGTAACCATAAAGGCCCCGCCCTGTTTACCATCCTCACTTATAGTGTGCACAACCATGCCGACTATCTATGACTCGTGCAAAACTTAGTTGAACCCTGATGGGTAAATGCTTATGTAAAATTAACTTGTCAGTGAGTAGATGCTCCTTTAAATAGCTAAGATGGACAGAAGCAGAGGCCTCTTTGAGTAATTACTCAAGTAATATAGTTACACATGCCATAATCCAAGAATTCCTCAGTATTTTCATCACATGTCAAGTATCTCTAGCAAAATCATCTTGAAACAAGAGTTTTAGCAAGTTTATTGACAAGCAGTACTTAAACAGCTAAGATAAGAGATATAAGAGACACAGAATGTCTAAGTGGCCCTTGCATATAAAGTAAAGATGATTCCTAGCTCAATAATAATGCATGGTGGATTCAGAATTGAAAGCGACTAATAAGAGATGTAAGAGACCCTAGGCTCCGACAAACTCATACACCATTGCGGAATATGCAGTGATATATCCACTTCATTTCATAAAGTTTATTTTTATTTTATTTTTCCTTCAGTGAACAGAAGTAAACTTTATTAAATGTTCCAGGAACTAGACTTATTATTATTTTGTGTTATAGATAAGCACAACATTTTCTTCCAACATACTTTACGCTTTTCATCGAAGTTCATCTCTTAAACGCAGATCACAGCATTATTAACCTTTGTTTACAAGCTTTCACACAATGCACATGAATTGTTGAATTTAAGCTTGTATCAATTTGTTACACACTATTGAAATTAGCTAATCTTGCTAATCAGTTGTAACATGTCACTATCTTTTTTACATTACCACTTTACGTTCCTATAAGTAGTCACTTTAAATTGGCTTTTAAAAGGGTGCATAATGTCAGTTTTTCAAATTATCCGCGTGTATAATTTAAATGCATGCTAATAATGAGTAAACCCCAACCACCACCTCTCCCCCGCGCGCGGGTAAATGACGGTTTTAATGGTGGTTCATCTGACGGGTTGGGATATCTTGAACTTTTTTAGATCACAAGCTTCCGAAGTTCAGAGTAGTGAAGGGCCCTATAAAGTAGTTTGGAACAGTGCTCTTGCCTCTTGGGATTGACTTTATCAAATCCGGTAACTATTAGGTGAAAGTTACATGTAGTGCTGCACATGCAAATTTCTGCTAGAAATAGGCAAGGTATGAAAGAGGAAGCTGCAGTGAATCATCAATATTGCCATTTCTAGTTCATTCATTCGATCCCCTTTCTCCTCGACAACAGTGGAGAAGATGTCTAGCAGCATAATGACTAATATAATGATATTTCCTTTTAAATTTTCGTAAAAGAAAGACATGTCAACAGTATATGATGTAATTCCTCCGTGCTTAAAAATCATTCATAAGTCCGACAAGCCAGGCTAGGCCCAAAATTAGTTGTCCAGGGGATCACATAAATACCGTTTTGTTGCACTCCGTTATCATTCTTAACACCCATCTTGGCTCAAAGGATTGTCACGTTTCGCTTTCCAAGTCCAACTACATATATTTGATCTAGTTTCTGATTTAATCATGACGCTTCATCTAATTTATGAATTTATCAATTCACATTTTACTTCAAAAATAAATTGGCTAGTATTTTGTTAATTGTGAATCAATACTTTCGATCGCTGTGGGGTTATACTCAAATCTAATTAGGCCATCTCAAAAATCATAATTAGATCGGGATTTTTACACAAATAGCCGGTCATATTCATTGTTTACTTTTTTTAGCCATATACATAGATTATACATTGATTATACATTATATAATACATAAATTATGCATATATTATACATTCAACGGTTATTTTTAGTTTGAGCGGTTTGGTGGACAGTTAATTGGGTTATTTATTCCATATGGCAAGCCCAATCAAGAATGGGCCAACAGTCAAGTATGTATAATCTTATCACTGGACCATGTTACCCATGAAGAACAGTCCTTAACTTCATACAACTAAAATATGAGATGGCCCACTAAAGAATTTTCCTAATCAATTTGGTTAACATAATAGAGTACCCATAAAACGACAGACCTTGTAATGACCAGATACTGTTTCAGTTAACAACGTATCAAATACGACTCCAAAAACAACAGAATCTGTAATTGTATGACCAGATTGCGTCCTACTATAACAATTTTCACAAACATATGGCCATGGCTGACACAGAAACAGAGAGAGATGTAGCCAGGCTAATATTGGAAGTCCCCACCCTCCTTTTTTAAACTTTCATTTCTCTTTTTCTTTCTCATATATCTTCACGTGAATCTGACTGTGCCTTTGCCATATCCTCTCTTCAGTCTTTCACCTCTTTTGTCACGTATTGCACCTCTAAACCTCTCTGCATAATGTAAGACCATAGCCACATTATAGAGCTACCTAAGAAAAGAAAACCAAAAAAAGGTCGTAAAAATTCAATCTTTGAACCCCCAACAACTCTTTTCTCTTCTTGCACTGAGAGAAGATGCAAATACATCAACTCTTAGTAGTAGTAGTAGTAGTTAATCTCTTATGTTTATCTTCTTTAACCACTGGTTCTTCTCATTTACATTCTCCTTCCACTAGTTTGTTAATTCCTTCAGATGCTTCAGCATTGTTAGCATTCAAATACAAAGCTGATTTGGGAAACAAACTCCAGTTTTCTGCTAATAGAAGCTTCAGATTCTGCAAATGGAAAGGTGTACAATGTGCAGAAAAGAAAGTGGTTCGTGTTACAATTGAAGGTTTAAGCTTAGGTGGTATATTTCCTCCTAATACATTGTCTAAACTTGATCAACTACGTGTCTTGAGTCTTCAAAATAACTCACTTACTGGTCCCATTCCTGATCTTTCTTCCCTTGTTAATCTCAAAGTTCTTTTCCTTGACCATAATTTATTCACTGGTTCAATACCACTTTCTATATTTACTCTTCACAGGCTCAAAACTCTTGATCTGTCCTACAACAATCTCACCGGTTCAGTACCCATTTCTATCAACAACTTGAACCGGTTGTACTATCTCCGGCTTGACTCGAACCGGATAAACGGTTCAGTCCCACCGCTGAACCAATCTTCACTTCAAATATTTAACATTTCTCACAATACCCTCTCCGGTCCTATTCCAGTAACTAAAACATTGTCCCGGTTTAAAACGGCATCGTTTTCAGATAATAAAGGACTTTGTGGTGAAATCATACACAAAGAGTGCCGTCCAATACAACCCTTTTTCAGTCCATCCACGGCTGCCGCCACCAAAATTACACCGCCGCCACCGAAAACACCGGCAGAACTCGGCCAGAACGAGGATTTACAAAATGGGGTTGCTTTAAAAAGTAAAGAGAACAAAACCCATAAAAAGTATTTACTCATTATTGGGGTTTCAACAGCTTGTTTAGTCCTTATATGTTCAGTAATATTATTAGCATTAGCGACGAAAAAGCACAACAACTCGAAAAAATTGGGAGAAAAAACCCAGAAAGGTGCATTTGATCCAAGTGTTAGTGGCAATGCAGAAGCAGTAATGAGGATTGAAGAAGACAATAATGAGTTAGAAGAGAAGGTGAAAAGAGTACAACAAGGAATGCAGCAAGTGATGGGGAAAAGTGGGAGCTTAATGTTCTGTGCAGGTGAGGTGCAGGTTTATACGCTGGAGCAGCTGATGAGAGCTTCTGCTGAGCTTTTGGGTAGAGGGACAATGGGGACCACTTATAAAGCGGTGCTTGATAACCGTCTGATTGTTTGTGTGAAGAGATTGGATGGTGGGAGATTAGCGGGTACAACAAGTAAGGAAGAGTTTGAGCAGCATATGGAATCAGTGGGCGGGCTTAGACACCCGAATTTGGTACCACTTCGGGCTTATTTTCAGGCAAGGGAAGAAAGGCTTTTGGTCTATGATTATCAGCCCAATGGCAGCTTGTTTTCTCTTGTTCATGGTACGTTCCTTCTCTATTTGTTCTTTTTTTTCCTTATATGTTCACCTCGGTTAATCCACCAATATAGGTATGGATTATGGAATAACTCTCTTTTTCGAAACTTAAATTGATGAAAAGAATTGACCTAATATTTTTTCTTCCAAGAGATTTAGACCTAATTCTATTTGTTCTTGATCTTAATATATGAACGTAAAGAGAAAATGACATTAATTTGAATGATAATAGTTGCCACAGGTTAAAAGTGATCTTTGCCCTAATATTAATAGTAACATTTTCTCTCGTTCATATGACATTTTTCACCGAGACGTTAGTTTGATAGAAAAAAGTTCACATCAAATTGAAATGTAAAGATTTACATTTATTTAAAATCATAAAAGATGTGGTACTACAGTTGCATAATTTCAAATACTGTTAAAGGTGCCCCATTGATGAAAGCTTTGTTCTGAAGGACTCCTTGTTTATTTATCATAGCCTTATCCAAGAAATACTGTAATTAAAGAGGTGGGAATATATATTCTATAAATAATTTAAGAAATTTAATACTTTAGTCTGCTGTTCAATCAAATAGGTCGTACTCCTATTTTTGCAGTTCCTCAACCCCAAGGTTTTCACAGACACAGAGCATCTTGCAGCTGACCCTGACAACATTGGAAACCGATTTCTATCTTCGTACAATATTTTTATGTTTGTTTAGTGTCCTAATCATAGGTATTAGTGTTATTAAAACTTATTTAATCTGATTTAAGAATGTAACTTTAATTTTGTTTCACGTGTGATTGCGTAACTTGAAGTTAATAGTATTGTGGGGGTCAGCACTCGGCATTACTAAAGTAATGTAAAGAATACTGTTATTGCATGTTCAGTACCACCGTCGCATATTTAATACAAAGCCTTATATTATTCTTTGTTGAATTTAGTTAGTTTTATCAAACTTGGTCGATCTGACGTGGCATCTGAAACATACTTTGACTGGTCAATGTGCCACGTGTTCAGGTTCCAAGTCATCAAGAGCAAAGCCACTTCACTGGACTTCTTGCTTGAAAATAGCAGAGGACGTAGCTCAAGGACTTTCTTACATTCACCAAGCATGGAGGCTTGTCCATGGCAATCTCAAGTCCTCTAACGTCCTCCTCGGCTCCGATTTCGAGGCGTGCATAGCCGACTATTGCCTCTCGGTCCTCGCCGTCCCCTCGAACGACGAGGACCCCGATTCTGCAGCCTACAAGGCTCCAGAAATTCGAAAGTTGAGTCACAACCACCACCATCACCGCCAAGCCAGTGCAAAATCCGATGTTTATTCATTTGGCGTTCTTTTGCTTGAGCTTCTAACAGGAAAACATCCCTCAGAACATCCATATTTAATGCCAGATGATATGATCCATTGGGTGAAATCTACTAGAGAAGATCATGATGGAAGTGGAGAAGATAATAAGTTGGAAATGCTTCTTGAAGTAGCTATGGCTTGTAGAGTGACATCACCAGAGCAAAGACCAACAATGTGGCAAGTGTTAAAGATGATACAAGAGATCAAAGAATCTGTAATAATGGAAGATAGTCATGATATGGACCTCCTCACTGGCACCTCCTAGTTCTTAGTTACTAAATCTTAAGTAGTTATAAAGTTAAATCTGTATTATATTCTAAAGACCTTTTATTGTTCGTTGGAAAAGAAAAGATAAAAAAGGGGAAATTAAAAAGGCAGAAACATCTAAGACTATATACGGATTTTCATTTGCTTAAGTTTTTGGAGCTCTTAGTTAGGGGAAATTAAAGACTACTTTTGTTAGCATGTTCATAAGTAGCTCGTCTTATTTAAATACTATCCCCTTATTTCACATTGGGTATTCCCCGGCCCATTTCTTTTCTCAAGAGTCTAAGTAGGCGTTTGGACATAAGAATTGTAAAATTTCCAAAAATGGTGAAAAAAAATTTCAAGTAAAAATAGGGGCATTTGCAACTATATCCGCTTTTTGGGTCACGTTTTAACATGAGCCCGCTTTGCCAAAAAAATTGCAAGCGTACTCACTTTTTCGCGTAACTTCAGCATACGGGGCTGAAGTAGCAAAGGCAATCACGCAAAACTTCAGCATTCTAGTAGACGGGACTGAAGTAGCAAGTGTGCTGAATTTTTTGTTTGTAATTGCTAAACTTAAGCATAGTAGCTGAAGTTTTATTCTCTATTTGCTGAAGTTTTTGTTTGTAATTGCTGAAGTTTTTGTTTTTGTAACTGGCGAACTTCAGCTCTAGAGCTGAAGTTTTTGTTTTGTAACTGGCGAATTTCAGCTCTAGAGCTGAAGTTTTTTGTTTTTGTAACTGGCGAACTTCAGCTCTACAGCTGAAGTTTTTGTTTTGTAAATGGCGAACTTCAGCTCTAGAGTTGAAGTTTTTGTTTTTGTAACTAGTGAACTTCAGCTCTAAAGCTGAAGTTTTTGTTTTGTAACTGGCGAACTTCAGCTCTAGAGCTGAAGTTTTTGTTTTGTAACTGGCGAACTTTAGCTTTAGAGCTGAAGTTTTTGTTTTGTAACTGTCGAATTTTTGCTATTTATTACTATGAATCCACAATAATCTTCAAAGCGGGAATCACATCGTATGGCAATCCACGACGATTTTCAAAGTGTGAATTCACGTCGTATAGCAATCTAAGTTCTTGTGAAATCAAACAGCTAGTATTCTTGCCAAATTACTTGTCGCGTTTGAGTTTTTAGTACTTACAACTAAAAGTAATTCTGAGTAATAGTAAGAAATATTTATTTAAAAGAGATAGCTGAAGAATAAACTTCGTCAAGAATATCTCCACAGCCATGTCAATTATTGGAACATTTTCACAATCAGCGACTTCAGAAAGGAGTGGCCTATCGGATAGAGGGCGGATATAACTTTGAAGAGGAGAAGGAGGAGGAGAAAGGGGGCTGAAGTTGTTTAAAAAGTGGGTACAAGTTAAAACTTTTTTAAAAAATGGGTATAGGTTAAATGGGGGCGACAAAATAGGGCGCCCCGTGCAATTTTTACGTAAAAATAGTATTTGAAATTTAGAGTTGTGTTTGGACATAAATTTCAGTTTGTGTTGTTTTTGAAGTTTTGTGAGTGAAAATTGGAAATTTATGAACAAACGCTGATTTTGAAAAAAAGTGAATTTTTTTTGGAAAAAAGGAAAAACAATTTTATGTCCAAACGGGCTAAGTTGATTTATTTTCTCTATACCCTTTTTAAAAACTGTATGATAAATTGAATCTTGGTAGTAGATAGGAGTCTTAATAATTTTACGGAAAAAGGTAGCAAGTTTAGCTATTTCCAGTAAAAAGTGATAGAATATTTAATGTACATTTCAAGAAAAAAATACAGCTTGCTATCTAGTTGGCTGTTGGAGCTACTTCTCTTTCAGTACTTGGAAGGTTGAATTCGTAAAATAATTATTGTTGGAGGCCGTACACATTCTTCAGACTGGCAATATTATTTTGTGGTTTGATAGAGGTGAGTAGGTGTCTATATTAAAGAGAGAACGTAAAACTCAGTTGTTTTAGCTGGACAAATGAATATATTCACCCATGAACAAATTAATATGGTGTGGACAACCTAAGTAGTCAATATAATCCTAGCAGGCATTTTGTTGCACTGCACAGCTAGATGCTCGTATTCATGTCCCGCTAAAGCCCTCTATCTCTTTGTTTTTTGTTCCAAGTATGATACACTAATAAATATGAAGAGTGGATTTAGATTTGGGAATTTTTAATCTTTATGTTGCTCTGACTCTTCAGAAATATCACCGAATGTGTGTCGAATTTCTTTAAAAGTAATGTATTTTTGAAGGATCCAGCAAAGGTACGGTAACATTTTGAAAAGTCCGCACAACATAATTGAATCCTATGAGCTGTATGAACAGTAACATTCACGTACAACTCCATGAGAAGGGCAATGAACAAAAATGGCCATGGTGTATTTTTTATAGCAGATAATGTTATGCTTCATGACATGTGATGAAAGGTATACTTCACCAATCAACATAACAATTGAAAGGAAAGAAACTCTTTCCCTTTGCCATGTACCTTCACTATATATGTGTTAACCAAAATTACTAACTATTCCATGGCGCACTTTTGCTTTAGCTTACTTGAATTGATTTTGATGTATAGCTATGAGCAAATAACAATCGCAATCTAGTCATTCCATCCATTTGCCCAAATGAGAAATAATCATGGGCTACATATACCCGATGAGACCATTTCCCAACCTTGCCGAACTACCTATTCATCTGCTTAAAGTTGGAAACAAAGTACTCTGCTTGTTTATCATTGTTGATTCCTAAATTGTGCGAGTCAATAAACTTTGGTACCATATATTAGTTTTCACGGAAAATGTAAATATTATGTAATTGAGTAACGGGTAGGGGTGTACATATAGGTCGGGTTGGTTCCGATTTTTCAATTACCAAACCAAATCAATGGTGTCGGATTTTTAAATCTATAAACCAAACCAAACTAACAAAGCCGGGTTTTTCAATCTCGATTTTTCTTGGATTTTTCGGATTTTTTCGAGTTTATTTTCGGTAAAGTCTTCTTAGCACAAAATATGTAAGTTGTGCTCCAAATATTTCTTTAGTCTTAGTAAGATATAACTATATAATGTATTTTTCAAGAAAATAACACAATATTATGAGATAAGTCATAGCATTATACTAAAATATTTAATAACAAAAATAATAAAATTGCATATAGCAAATATTGCTAATTAATAAGCCATAATAAAAATTAACATAATCTAAAAATACATATAGGACATTCTAAAATAAGTATAGCTAATAAGTACTATTAATTACATAACTAAGCACTAAAGAAAAAGATAAACTAAGTTATGCATTTTTACTATAAATCAATATAAAACTAAAAAATAGATATCCAACACTATTGTCATTCTCTGTATTGCATTGAATTTCTTTTGTTAGCATTAGTATTGATCTGAACTTTGTTAGAGTAACTACATTTTATGGGCTATAAAATGTATTTACCATTCAAGAATATTAAGTCCAAACTTGAAATAATACGTTAAAAGATAAAATTGTGAAATTTTTTAAGACATATTTATAAATTACAGTACAATAAATATTTGTAAGCATACAATATTTTTAAAAATTATATAAATGTATTATCGGTTGGTTTGGTTTCGGTTTGACTTTTTAGTTAAAACAAAACCAAACCAATTATGATCGGGTTTTTTTTCCTTCAATACCAAACCAACTCAAACCAAACCACAATCGTATTTTTTTCCACCGGTTTGATTCGGATTAACGATTTGATGTAATTTATCGATTTTCTTTGTACGCTCCTAATAACGAGGTCATTAGTTCGATCACCAAAGATCATAATTAATTTAAACAATAGTGTCACGACTTCGAATTTAGCAATCTCTTCACCATTGTTTGCCTTGTTCAAACTTTTCGTGTAGTCGAAGAGTTAGCAACACAATTAATTCGATCTAACCACTAAACACACATGTCCGTTTCAGGTTAATATATGCCTACTTGACCTCGAGGAGTGGCAAACAATACATAACTTTAATCAATTAAATGCCTCAATATTAGATGTGAGTCTTCCCTACCTTTATGTACTTTTTCTTTGTCGAATTCCCTACCTTTGTACAGGAAGAATTTTATAAAGTACTACAGTTTAGAGCCTAATACAGTGATACATATAATTATTGTATTATTGTATGTGACTCCATGCACTGTATACATTATATTTACCTTGCTACAAAATACAAAGAATAGCTACGAATTATAATTATTTCAAAGTGTATTTATGTATGATAAATACAGTGTATACATTAGTTATACCATGTAATTTTTACGCGCAAGAAAATGGATTAATGGGTCACTGGACTGTAGTTTAATTGGGCCTAAGTGTGAAAAGCCCATAAAACAAAAGGCCCAATAAGAGAACAATCAGCCGAGGGGACGATGATAGAAGAGCCGAGGAGGAAAGATGAGTGTTGGGGGTGGGAAGGGGCAAATATTCCAGAAATTGCTAGAAACATCTGCTCGTCTCTTCGCCATTTCTCTTATCTTTATCTCTTTTTACTAATACCTTCAATCAAATACCAACCCTTCAGTACAATAAGAGTCAGAAATAAAGTATTCTTTAGCGACAAAAGTGCAGATCGCAAATTGCAACTGAAATGCCATGGACAGTACGGACACTGACATGATGGAGGCGGAGTCCACGGCGGCGCCACCGCAACCTCCACCGTCACAACTGCATTCCAGTTCGGGCCAACACGACGTCGTTAGAGGCATGCTCACTACTGCTCGCCAGCTTATCGATCAAGGCAAGCCTTCTCAGGCTCTCCAAGCGGTAATCTCATTCCTCCCTACCTTTAGCCTCGTCTTCTGAAATTTTATTATATGATTTTAAATTCTTTGTTTGACTGGAAATGAATGCTAACTGTCTCTTAATTTAACTATTGAGTGAGCGGTGAGTTTTTATGTAAATGCTAGTGTTTTTTTTTTTTTTTTTGTGTGTGCCCATTTTTAACAGATTTAATTTCACTTTTTGGTTTCTACTAATTTTCATGATCATATTCACTATTAGGTTATTTTGACAGAAAATTTATTCTTTAGCTAATAACCAACTATAAGCTGATTTAATCTAATCAATTTTTTCTTTAATAATCACCAATCTAAATAATCTCAGATACTTACATAATTTAAACCAGACAGACGAAGTACACTGTAATAACTTGGATTTAGCTGACAATTCTGGACTACACATCCTGACATTCATGTGTCTCATAGGAATGGCGTTATGAAGTTGTGTAGATTTTACAAGAGTATTTTTGAAATATGTAAGAAAGATATTCATACCTACCTATTGTGGAATGTGAGATACACTATCCTGTAATCATTGTCAGCGAAGATTCACTAAGAGAGTCTGCGTTGATGGATAAATAGATTGTTAGACGTGCTAGAATTGACACTTCATGGATAACTTCTAAGAGCTTAGCTGAATTCTTATTGCCTGTCAAATCTGTTGTTTATGTCAATGAAGGGTGAGTACATGATTGGTGGAGAAATGTAACGTAGTTAACATGCTAAGATATCATTAAATATTTTAGTACTGGCAGTGTAAGCTGTTTTCTTGGGATGTCTCAAACAGTTCCAGTATAACTGAAGTAGCATATCTGCTATTCCATACTGTGATGATATACGATTCTGTAGTAGACTCTCTGTTTCACTGCCTAAGATTTAAGAAACAAAAAGTTTTTGTAGTGGTGTTATTGTAAAAAAGATACTCTAGTGGTGTTATTGTCACCTCATAAACCTCCTTAGGTTTGAGGCCTAATTGGTATGATCTAAAACTTTTTGTTAAGTGTTACTATTAATTATTCTGCATTTTACTGTTCAAGTCCATTAGCTACCTCACATAGATTTTGTGCATGGATGTCACATTTCATGCACAAGCCACTTTTGCCAAATCCTTTGAAGTATCTCTTAATTGACAATATCGTTGACAACATTTCAAATGATTTTTTTACAAATGGCTTCACGCATGAGAGTTGTGGACAAGTGGCTAAAGAGATTAGCGAACTGGCTTCATGCATGGGGTTACGGACAAGTGACTTCATAACATATGACATTTGTTATGATAAGAGGCTGTTTCACATCTAATAATTAACTAGTCGTAATCCCATTCTTCTGCAATCATAAGCATCCTTCAACAACTCTTTTACGCCTGGTGTTTCTTCCTGTGATTTTTTTCTTCAACAAACTATTAACTGTTCCTGTTGTTATTCTTCTTTTCTGACTTGCTGAATTGTTATTTAAATTTTGTTGCTCCTACTCCCTCATAGAGGCAAACTTGTTTAATCCTGGATGAAATAGTTTCTTTGATTGTTGAAAGCAAGGAAAAATATTGACAATATTTATATATGAGGATTCATATCGTCAACCCCATCTTTGTTTGGGACTGAGGTGTAATTGTTGGTTTTGTTATTGCTATTTATATACGAGCAGATATATGTGGATTTCTGTTGTGCTAGACACTGTCCTGAAACAGGACGATGTCTAGCATGACTCAAGCTCCTTGTTATCTCCTCATAAATAAATAACATTTTTAGTGTCATTATTTTTAACTTACTTATTTCAGCAGTATGAAACTTCTCTCAGGATTAAAGTAGCCTTCCTCTGATGGAAAAAGGAGTACTAGAGCATCAAAATTTAAATAACAGCCAACAACTTATGAGTGGAAAAGAAGAAAAGATATAGTAGCTAAGCATTTGTATGGAGATTAATTGTGTAGAAAATAAGGCTAAAGAGAGTAGATATTAGGATAAAGTAATAATTGTGATGCACGAGGAAGCCATAATTAGGCCAATTTTTTGTGTGTTCATGGAGGAGTAAAAATGGGGTATTTATAGGAAGAGATGTTTCTAACCATGCCATTTGTCATGGTTACATGTTAAGTGGCAAGACACTTGATTATGTCCACTTGCCACTTAGCGAAACATGAAGCCACTCGTCCATATATATTTTCCACTTAAACAAATAGCTTATGCGTAGATTCACCTTCAAGCACTTGTCAAACATCTTTTACATTTGAAAAACTGGGCGTGAGAGAGCTGTTGAAGGAAGGCTTATGAGTGCGTATGATTGCACATAATGTAGTTATGATTAGCTAATTATAGGATGTAAAATGGCCCCTTGGCATGACGAGTGTCATAGGCCATGAAGTCACTTGTCCATAACATACTTGAAGGGCCGGACTACAAAGGTCTGTTGTGCGCAGCCTTGTCCGGACTACAATCTTTTGAAATATTGGTACTTTAGAGATATTTCAAAAGATTTGGGACTAATGGCTTGTGCATAGAAATGTAGCATCCATGCGTAAGATTTATTCTAGGTTGTTAATGGCCTTGAACAAATGGCTAAAGGACCACTTACACTTGGCAAGATAGAGATTGATGTTAAGGTGCTTTTAGCAGTTCAATGGACCTCATGACTCTGAGTTGCAAAAATTAGTGGGGTATACGCCCAAAAACAATTAGTTCTGCAATATATATATATATATATATATATATATATATATATATATATATATATATATATATATATATTCAGACTTTCACTGACATTATAGTGTTATGAAAAATTCTCATTTTCTTTTTGTGTTCATGTTAATCTTGGTATTAATTAAATGCGGTAACAGGTGGTGATGGCCATGAGAACCAAAGGCGGTGAGCAAGCTGTATTTCAAGCCCTGAATCGTGCTCAGGAACTGTACAGAAATAAAGTACAGGCAAGTGTGGCTGCAGATGAGCTGGCTTCTTTATTTGCTGAGTGTGCCATTGCTGAGGCCATGCCTCCTGTATCCCAGCCGTCTGAACATAATACAGTGGATAAACCAATTGAAGTAGATGTTGATGGAACGTCAATACTAGCTGAAACTGGCAGAAAACAGATAATGCTTGATGCATTCTCTGATGGAACCAGCTTTGTCTGCTTACAGTGTGGGGGTCTAGTTAGCACGCACCGCAAAGATGAGCACTACTCATTCTGGTGTTGCAAAATGTGACATAGTTTGCTACTTGAATGGGGTACATCTCCTTGCTCGGTCTTGGACAGAGTGCTACATTTTTCATGTCATTACTCATCATGAGAGGCTTATATCTCGTGCATGGTGCTTGTGCACCATAGGTGGTAGTTTCTACTATAAACATAACCTGCTCTTGGTTCCAGATGTACTCTCCATAAAGGCATGTTGCTGTAAGCGTTACATGGCCAATTTGGTGGCCGAAGTTATGGATGTGCACCATAGGTGGTAGTTTCTACTATAAACATAACCTGCTCTTGGTTCCAGATGTACTCTCCATAAAGGCATGTTGCTGTAAGCGTTACATGGCCAATTTGGTGGCCGAAGTTATGAATGCCTGATGTAGTACCCATTACTTAACGTCATATGGTTAGATATTGGTTACAGGAAATGTATTCGCGGTTCTAGGAGTGTGTTTGTGCACATTTGTGCCGTTTAAGATGTTTTCAAATAATACGCATGTCCCTTGTGTGAGCTTGTAAATTATGGTTGTGTCAAACTTAAAGGTGTCAAAGGGGTGGGCCGGGCCGGGTCGAGGAAAATAGTAACTGGCCGATCACCAATCCGGGCCAGTTACTGGTTTTTCCATACCGTGTTAACGGGTCTGGCCCATCCGGTTTAATATTGGAACGGTGGTCTAAGGGGCTGGGCCGGGTTTATTTAAAATTTTTTTATTATTTTGTATAACTATCGTCATTTATATTCATAGAAAGTAAAATATAAAATAAAAAAAATAATTTTATAAAAAGAGTCTTTGAATAAATTTCAAAGACTTTAAAACCCTTATATTTGATACATTCATCACGAATTAAAGATAATACCATGAACATAAAAAAAATATAACTTATAGTATAAATCTTATATAGGACACTTAAGTGTTATAATAACTTGATGTATAAATACGAATTTCTGGAGGACGCTCAAGACAACTCTTCATATGCCTTCTTAAAATAGCATGTGCCCACCCACTTTAGACGAAGATTTAAGACTCCACCACAGTTCTTGCACTTTACTTTGTGAACTTCTTCATTTTCTTCTACCACCTCAAAGTGTTCCCAAACATATGAGCGCACTCTAGAAGCATGGGGCATGATTTAACTTGAATTGAGAATTTGAGTATGAGAAATAAGAGATGAGCGAAGAAATGAAGAGGGAGGGTGGGGGGAAGGGTGGGGGTGTGTTTATAGTTTTTCAAAGGGCTAACTTAGTAATTACCTAAAGTGTTATTTCTTTTAGAAAAATTGCCCAAAAAGGGCTATTCTTGCAAAATATCCATTGGGCAACGGTCAAATTGGAAGCTGACCGTTGCCAACGGTCAAATGGATTGTTTTTAAAAAAAAACAATTCAGAAAATAGCTGTTGAACTGATCCTGGCTGGTCCGGTTAACCGGTTCAACGTTGTTTTCCCTTGACTAGGTTTGACCCGTCTTGTTAACGGGTAAGAAAAATGTAAACGTCTTAACCCCTTACCCGGCCCCTACAACCAGTCCGGACCGAACCGGGTTAATACCGGTCTGGGCCGGTCCGAAAACAGGTCAACCCGGCCCGTTGAATACCCATAGTCAAACTTGTGCGTAACAATCTTTTCGCCTCTGAAGATTAGCATACTAAGGCCTCATTTGTTTTTTTTTAAGATTAAGGCATCTGAATCTGAATACACATCCGAATATCAAGATGTGTATTAAGATTAAGACATCTGAATATTAAGATGTGTATTAAGATCTGAATATTAATGATTACTTCCATTTGATTTTTAACATCTGAATGTATAAACTTTGTCTTTATTTGAAAATTAATAAACATAAAATTCAAATGAAATATTAATTAATCTAATATTCTATCAATAAAATATATAAATTTTTTAAAGATATGGTAGTTGCTGGTGGCGATGGTAACGGTGGTGCTTATGAATGCCGACTAGAGCCGGTGGTTGGTGGTAGTTTTGGTTGATGGTTGTGGTTCAGGGTAGTAGCTAGTGGTGATTAGTAGTGGTGACGATTATGATTGAGGATGGTGGTGGTGAATGATGATAGTTAATAATGGCGGGAGGTGGTAGTAGATGTGATTGAAGAAGATGGTGGTGGGTAGGGCTGTGCATTTGGATCGGATATCCGAAATCCGATCCGATCCACTCTATTTCGGATTTCGGATTTTCGGATTGGATACGGATTGTGTTTTATAAAATTTCGGATTTTCGGATTGGTATGATCTAAATCCGATCCGATCCGAAATCCGAAACTATATGTACCTATATAAATACTACACTAAAATTTTAGGGTTAGGCTTATTCATTTTTTACACACCCCCTCACTCACTTAGATTTTTCCGCCTCTCTTTTCTTCAGTGAAGACCGAAGAGTCTCAAAGACTCAAAGTCTCAAACTTCTGATTTTACTTTGATTTTTATGTCTCTTTCTTCCGCCTCTCTTCCCTTCTCTTATGTCTTTTATGTCTCTTTCATGTTCTATTTTTCAACTTTGATTTTACTTTGATTTTTTTTTTTGTTTTGGTAGATGGAAGATGAGACAGAGACACCGAATAAACTTCAAATTGTTGAAAATTTTGGTGAAAGAGATGCTTCAACTGATTCCACAACCAACAACAGTGAATCTCAATATGATTGAATGGTGTTTTAGGAGTTGAATGGTGTTTATTCACTCAATTTTTTTGATTATGATTGAATGGTGCTTTAGGAGATGAATGGTTTTTTCTAATTAAATGGTGTTTTAGGAGATGAATGGTCCTAAGTCCTAACCAGCAATTTTGTGACAATCCGATCCGACAATCCGAAAAATTATCTGATCCAAAGTTTAAAATCCGATCCGATCCAATGTTAATTTGGATCGGATTCGGATTGCCCTTTTCAGAATCCGAAATCCGAAATCCGAAATATGCTAAATCCGATCCAATCCGATCCGTGCACAACCATAATAGTGGGTGGTGGTAGTTAATAATGATGTGCAGTGCAGGTTATGGTTGTTGATGGTAATGGGGTGGTTAGTTGACGTGGATGAGTGTTGTTTGTGTTTGAGAATAATGGTGGTGGGAGTGATGCGGATGGTGGGTGGTGGTAGTCGATTATGGTGGCGGCTATGATTGAGGGTGGTGGTGGTGGTGGTTGAGTATGGTGGTGGTGATGTTGGCATGGTGGTAGTTGATAATGGTAGGCGGTGACGAAAATTAATAATGGATATAGATGATAGCACTTAATGAAATTAATCTCTGTTATGAATCTTAATCATGCAACCTATTCAGACCCATTAAGTGATTGTGAAGTAAAAAACAAAGAGGTTTTTTCCTATCTATACCATATATGAAACTTTATTACCAAATATGTTCATAGTATCTAAATTACCCGCCTAGTCCACATTTTTCCTACAATTTCTGTACCATTCGTTTATTAGGAGTTAATAGGGCAGAATTTTCCCTTAATCACGCACTAAAAATCAGGAAAGAATCTTGGGATTGATTGAGTCTACATTAAAATTCTGCCTTAATCACCTACGACGAATCAGGAAGCCATTATGGAAGTAAATATTCTTTCAGATATTTTTCACTGTTGATAGCCATTAAAAAGCTTGAAAGCTTTGAATTTAAATTTAGGTTTTCAAAAATCATTATTTGTTTGGATTGGGTGTTGTTGAAAATAATCGGAAATATGGTTTGGAGTTTATATCTCAATTTTGAGGGGTTTTGGTGAAGATTAGACTTGGTTTTGACAGAATTTCAGATTGAAACTCGAAGAAGAAGAAGAAGACATATTGCAGAAATTGTAGATAAATTGTAGATTATTTGTATTCTGATTGTAGATGCTTTATTTTCTGTTTTCACAAATAAAAAACGGCTAAAACTTCTACATATCTTCTGAAAAAATGCAATTATGTCAAAAATCACAATTATGCTACAATTGGATGGGAATTAGGATATAAAAATTTAATGTACCCAGTTTGTAGATATTTTGTAGATAAATTGTAGATTATGTGTATTCTAATTGTAGGTGCTTTGTTTTCTGTTTTTACAAATCAAAAACGACTAAAACTTCTACAAATTTTCTGCAAAAAACGCAATTATGTCGAAAATGTCAATTATGCTACAATTGAAATGGGAATTGGGATATTAAAATTCAATGTATCCAGTTTGTAGATATTTTGTAGATAAATTGTAGATTATTTGTATTCTGATTGTAGATGCACTGTTTTCTGTTTTCACAAATCCAAAATGACTAAAACTTCTACAAAATCTTCTGCAAATATGGCTACTTTTGAATCCAAATTGAGCATGAAGCTTTTGATTGAAACCAAGGCCCGTAAAGTTCTATTTGCTGAGGCTGAAAAGGACTGTGTCGATTTCCTTTTTCACATTCTGTCATTGCCAGCGGCCACTGTCATTAGGCTTCTAAAAAAGAATAGAATGAATTATGGATGCTTGGCTAACCTCTATGAAAGCGTAGAAAATCTGAATGAAATCTGTATTCAGTCGAACCAAGACAAGGATATCCTTTTACAACCCAAATCTTCAGTTGGAATCTCTTCTGTTCCGTTTCTATTACTTAATGACGGTCCCACACAATGGAATTAGGGGATAGAAAAACGTGGGATATATGGACACCTTTAATTAAGGAGTAAAAACTGCCCATTAATTAGACCCTTAATTAAGTATGGTATAGAATTGGTAATTTGATATACTAAGTGTAATTAAATCAAACCTTAAACATTGAGGGTAATAAGGTTTCCTATGTGGCATAGGAATGTAAAAATTCCAAAAACAAACACACTTAGAGCCCGTTTGGACATACAAAACTTTTTCTTTTTTCCAAATTTTTTTTAAAACAATATTTGGTTATCAAAATCTTCCCAATTTTTCCAATTTCACTTGAAAAAATATCTTCAAATTTGAAAAACTGGTTTTACCAGTTTTGCAATTGAAAATGAGAATTTGCTAGTTTTTAATTTTACAAATTTATCCTATACTTTTAAAATTTATAAAATGACCCCATCAATTATTAACGTACATGTTTGATAACAGTGGTAACAGCAGTTGGGAGCGAACTATGTTAGAAAATGTGATATTGATTTTGTATCTTCCGTGTATTGCAGTAAAGCAGAACATGATAACAGTTAAACAATAACATGTTTGATTGTTTCTTTCAAATAGGATAATCAAATTGGAGCGATTTTGATATTTTTTACAAGTTGTGGGGTATAAATCATGTTTCATGATTTTGAAAAAAAGACATCCAAATATTTTGCAAAAATTATAACCAAACACAACTTCATCTTCAATTCAAATTTTAGTGAAATTCCAAATTTGATTTTTTTTTTGGAATTCATGTCCAAACGCCTACTTAATGATTAAGATCTGAATAATTAAGCTTAAGACTTTAAAAACAAATGCACTTAATGTCTGATATATGAATATAATTAAGATCCAGACCTCCATTAAGTGCAAACAAACGAGGCCTAAATACTGCTCTGC